TTCCCCCAATATTACCCCAATATTCTATAGTACCTTAGGTACACCGTGAGGGGCTCCTGCGCGCCGGTCCTGCTTTCAGAGCTCATGGCAGGCCTCTTCACCCCGGAGCCTTTCTAAACAATTACTGACCAGGGTTTAGGGTTTATAGGGTTTAGGGTTTAGGGTTTAGGGTTTAGGGACGGGGGGTTAGTAGGGAATTAGGGAATATTATGTAGTGTTCAGGGTTTAGGTTTAGAGGTTTAGGTTTTAGGGTTTCGGGTTTAGGGTTGGTAGGGGACAAGGTAATGATTTCTATAGGGATTATGTAGGGATGATATTCTACTGTTTCCCACTAACAACCAGAAAGTTGTCTGAACTAAGGGTTGGAGGTTTAGGGTCAAGGGTTAGAATTTGAGGCAGGGTTCTGGGTTTGCGTTTCAGGTTGCAGTGGAAATCCAAACATGTTTGCAGGGATTATAAGAAAGGGGGTATGCACGGATATAGGGGAACGTATGGTTGAATCAGGGTATCTCGAAGGTTTGAATAATAGAGAGCGAAATGGAAAAGGACAAGGGTCTATATACAGGTTGGTAAAGGGGTTGTATTGTAGGCGCTTGATCAGAGAAACCCTAGGCTTCAACTGTTAAATCCTACACTCCTAGCCCTGATACCCAAACTCCCAAGCCCACACCCTGAGCTCCAAATCCATTCCAAATCCTGTGCCAACCATTTAAGCCCCTATTCTACATATATCTGTATGTCCTCATATTCCCTAGCAGGGGCCCCAAATCTAAAGCTAAGCACGAGCAAGGAGATCATGCCCGCGGGAAGCCAGGCGAGCCCAGTTCAGAGTTCACGCCTTTATGGATATATGGATTGTTATACAGGGATGTATGGGGATGTTTTGGGTTTAGGGGTTGCGGGGTTTGCGGGGGTTTAGGGTTTGAAGGTTGGGGTTTAGGGCTCAGGGGTTCAGAGGCTTCGGCTTCACGGTCTCGGGGTTTAAAGGTTTAGAAGTTCAGGGGTTGAAAGGTTCGGGGTGCAGGGGTTGAAAGGATTAGCTTTTTCATGGGTTCTCCTACTACCCCCCTCTATACTACCCCCCCCCCTAGCTTCCCCCTATCCCTAAATAACTTTGATTAAGGGGGGAACCTAGGGAGGGTAGTATAGAGGGGGGTAGTAGGGGAAGGGGAAGCCATGACTTTTAAGGTTTAATGACTTGAGGCTAGAGATATGCCAGAAACTAGGCACCCTGTTTACAATCAATCTGAATCCCCTCCGATAGGGGGCCGTAGTTTAAGTCTACAACGACTTGAGATTGAAGCTTCTGGACATGCAGGGTTTTGTGGATTTGGGATTTCGGGGTTTTCGTTTGGAGCTGTCAGATGCCTGGGTTGGGAATCAATAAGAAAAGCTCAAAGTGCTCTTAAGAGATCACCGTACTGTTGATGGGCGAGGAGAGAGTTTAGGGTTATAGTCTCCTTCAGTAGATATAAAATGTGGGGTATATGGGGATCTTATGGTAATATACCCAAAGCCATATTCCATCTACTTGAGGGAGACTATACATGTTTATTTGGAGGACGGTGGCTTATCTCCTGATTCAACTTAGATTCTGTGTCCTTTTTCAGGGGTTCAGATCTACAAGCCCTAAATCCCAAACCCTGAATCCCCAGACCCTGAAACCCCAGAACCCTGAGACCTCAACCCTGAACTTTAAACCCTTGAACCCTTTAACTCTGAACCCTCGACCATTAAACCCCCTAAAGCCCTGAACTTGAAACCCTGAACCCCGGTTGCATGGCATTCGCATATAGGTGGTGTGCAGATGTGTACGAGGCTCAGGTCCGTCATCCCAAGCGCCAGTTCAATGGTCACAGTGTAAGGGCCTAAACCGGGGGGCTTTCCTGTATACTATATTGATATATCTCTACATAAAGGTTTTTAGGGAAAATGATTCCCAATTCTTCAGGGTCTACTCAGCCTACGCAACAAGTACCTTGTGTGCCATCTCCTCCACTATTTGCTGGAGGGATATAGCAGGACCATGGAGGGCTTGAGGCAATTTAGATCATGACGCGTGTAGGGCGTTGATGAAGGGTTTTGAGGATGGCTACTCCTAAGCCCTTAGCCCTGACCTCTAAGCCTTAAACCTTACTACAGGATGTCATCTTGCATGCGTTTGTCATGATTTCAGGTGGCAAACACCTTGCTGAAGATTTCCCCGGCCTTTGGGCAGCAGTTACAGTTCTAATACATGGGATACATTATTGTATAGGGGTATAATGGGGGTTTAGCGATTGCGGTTGAGGGTTTAGGAATATGTTGGGGATACTCCTTATCCCCATAATAATTGGGGATCAAATGGGGAAGAACATGGAACTTGAAACGGAAATTGGTACGGCTTGTGGGGGTGTCACAGTGATGACCTGACCCCAAACGAGCATCAAACCGGAAAATGCACCTTTTGTAGTTTACTGTCCTTCTAACATGTGCCTATTATGTGAGGTTCCATGCTAGTTTGGGCGAGGGTAGCTAGGTAGAAGTGGCGTTGAGGGCTTGAGATTTAAGGTCTGCGAGACAGTACTTGATGATAAGCCAGGGTCTCATGTGTAGGAACTAGGGATCACCACGGACTTGTAGGGCCTGTTGAGTCAGTCTCACCTTGCAAGCCTCCACCTGCCCTACTTGGTGGTTCATGGGACTTGCCAACTCGTTGCGATTAGCATTCGAAATTCTAACTCTACTGGCCATCCTCCTTCCTAATTTAGGTCCCTCTCTTTGTACATATAAAGCCCCCAAAAGAGAATTGTTCAAAGAGTACCACTCTCAAGTAGTAGCTCTCCATATATATATATACATATTGCAGTTGACATATGTATATATGTATATATTTAAGATTAGCATCACGAACCCCAAAGCCTTATCTGTTTAATTCGGTTTCTACAAGTGCCAGCATATTATATGACTGGTATCCCCCTGAATAACCCCTACTATAATGCCCAATATAATCCCCACATAACCCCATCTTAAGGAGAGACTAGTGCTTGAAGGCTCCTCATAACACAGCTCAGTTGAACACCAGGCGCCTTTCGAGAAAAGTCTTAAGTAAAGGCATTGTTTAACCCTACACTTACTAATTGTTAGTAGGGAATGGGGAATATAATCCCTATATAATCC